TTTTCTGGAACCTAGTGTGAACCCTTAACACACAGTAGACATTCAATAAATATGTGATGGTCTCTACCCCTTCCCTAAGTAAAACCTACTTCCCTTTCAGACTTTCAGTCTTGACATGCTCCCAATCATCCAGGTTTGTGGAGACATTGTGGCCATTTTCAAACTTCCCTTCTCCTTTGCCATTCATCTTTAACCTGCCCTCCTGATGGGTGGTGCTGAAGAATTAAGTTGGAGCACCAAGCAAAGTACTTCTCTCAGAGTCCCCTAATATTTTTTTTAATTTTTAAAGGGTTTTTTTAAATCACCAAATGCAGTTCATTTCATTTCTGCAATTTTATTCAGTCCACCATGGATAAACTCCTCACCTTCCTGGCCCCTTGCCAGAGCTGAACTTCCTCCCTGCCCTGCGATGGACCCATCGGCACCAACAACCAGGCAAGTCAGGTGGTAAACCTGAGCTCTCCCGAGCAGAGTTCTCCTCCACGTGGCCCAGGTAATTCACCGGGAAGCCTCACTGACTTTGCCCGGTTGGACAACACTGTACTTAAGAGCCAGAAAAACCACTTGAATTCAAGTTTCAGCTCCACCACTCACTAGCTGTGTGACCGCTGGCAAGTTCCTTAATCTCTCTGTCTCAGTTTCCTCATCTGTAAAATGGGAGTGATAACAACAGAGCAGCCTTACAAGCTATTGGAAGATGAAATGGGATAACCTACGGAAAGCACTCGGTCTGTGCCAGGTGCCCAATAAGGGCTTTGGTAAATGTTTGCTGCTACTGATGCCCCTCAGACCCTTCCTTCTCTCACTGTCTCTGCTTGCTCGGTCCCTCAGTTCAGGCTGTCACCGTCCCTCCAGGGTTCAAACTCGATCACCCACCAGCTAACTTAAATTCAGCCTCTAGCGTCACCTCCCTTAAGCCACCCGCTCCCTGGCACCAGAGAAATCAGCGCAAGTGGAAAAGCCCCATGTACCATTTCCCTGCTAATAAGCCTTACCTACCGCTGTCTGCCCAAACTATTAGGGCTTAAGAACCAGTGTATTTCCCGACCCAATGTCAATAACAAGGCAGACTTGTATAAAACATAATAAAAATTAATTCTTGGAAACTTTTAATATTAGAAAAACCCCACAAAATACAAGCCTGAAACTTGTGTTATTAGACTTACCAAGCATATACCCCGTCAAATTGCTTTAAAACTTTCTGAACGCTTAACCCCGATTTCACCCCTCTCGTCTAGGGCCCACGGCAGGCAGCCGCCGCAGCATGAGCCCGGCCCGGAGGCAGCAGCCTGCCGCGCCGTCCCCGCCCGCCGCGCGCGTCCCCGCCCAGGGTCCGGCGGGTTTCCTGCCCGCGAAGCCGCGCCGGGCGGAAGTGTCAGCCTGAGAGCGGGTTAGTATCTAGGGACCTTCACAGTTCCTGACATTTACCGGGGTCACGGAAGTATTTCATGGGTCCTAACACCTTCTGAACTAACTGCGTGCAGTTTAGTCACGAGTTCATTCTAGAAGACAAAGGGACAAGGACGCGGACCGGCAAGATGCCTCGACCGCACAGCGCGCTTAGGGAAACTCAAGAACAGGTCGGCCAGATCATCAAGTCATGAAACCCAATCAGTGAATTCTGTTTGGCCTTAGGGTTCATTTCGAGTTAACACTTTTAATAATATTAACTATAGTCTTTGAATCAGCTAATGCAGTACTTCCCAAACTGGTGTTAAAGAAAAACTGCTCTGGGTAGTGTTAATCGGTGTTCCAAGAAAAACAGACTTCCCTTGCACAATTAAGTTAGTTTGTGAACTGCAAGCAAAGTCCAATAGGTTTTTCTTTTTCCACCGAAGCCCTCCTCAATACTTCAATATGGCAGTAAATGTTTTGAATAACCAAAGGGAAAACCTAGCACTTAGCCTAGCCCACGCTAATCTGATCAGAGATCCTTTGTTTAGGAAACTCCGATTAACATTTCCCAGAATCATTGTTCTGTTCCTGCTGATATGAGCAATGTCTGTCTAATCCGTTTAAAAATCACTATAGCCTTATAAGCAAACACACAAAATTATAATTGAATAAAATTAACCTTTGGCTGGATCTGCTTTTAAAATGTGTCCATAGGTTCAGGATTCTGTGGTCCTAAACCTTCATGACCTAAAAAAGTAAAATTTCATAAAGGTTTATGTGCATCTGCTCTCTGCTCCAATGACCTACCAATTAACAAATCTTTCTATTAATCACACAGAAACATTTAAGCATTTCAGTCACACAACCGCATCTCTAGTTGATTAACCTGTTCCAAGATCAATTCATATCATAGTGAATACATATAGTATATATCAATATATTAGATCAAACACAGCACATTTGTGATCTACACTGAAAAATTCAGACGTTCTACACTTTGCCAGAGAATACACTTGGAATTTTATTATATTCCAGGTCATTGAAAATACAGCATAGCACATTTATATTATTTCAATGTGGAAAACGTATAATATATATAATGCCATGTATATTATATATGTGTACAATGTATTACATACATACATTTTGAAAACACCTATGCAAGTTCTTTCAACTCTAAAACTAAAAGGATTAGAAAACCAAGTAAGTCAAAGTTGATAGCCCTCTGATTGTTAGACATTGTCTAGCTAAAACAGTGGTTTAATCATTGTTACAAGCTCATACTACAAGAGAAACGTAAATATAATTTCCTGAAAGTGAAGTTGTAGGGAAAATTGGTACTGCCCGCACTGAAAAGCTGTCTTGATCAAAAATATTTGAAGGATTTTGTCATCATCTGCTTCAATCTACTGAAGGGTAAAGATTCAATTTTCTGGCTCCCTGCTGTCAGTAAATTCACCACTGAATCCCTCACCCCAAGCATAGAGTTATCATATGGAAGACAATCAATATTTATTGAATCAATAAATAAACTTTTCACCTTGCAACTGATAAGATAATTGTATCATACAATTTTAAGCACATTTGTTGATTTCTATGAATTTCTCCATCACCAATCCATTTAATTCAAATGGATATAAAAGTTCATTAGAGAAACAGAGACATGTAAAAGAAGTGTTTAAATGGTTTATCACAAGCAATTGCTAAATTACTGAAATCCTGAGCATTATATAAAAAATGAGAGTTAAAACAATATAATAACCATAGACAATATTCTGCCTATAGAGCTGTTACATTTAAATTGAAAAGCAAACACATTTGTCATTATAATTTTTCTTTAGCAAAATAGTTGATAGAGTTTTATTTGTTTCAGCTCTTTGAGCTTCTTGTAACTAGTGTTTGTTTCGTAAATCCTCTGGATTTTAGCAAAGTAGTATTTTATTATTTTACATGTCATGAGGAGGAGTCAGAAATTTAAGTTGAAATAACAAACGAACTAAAACAACACAGGCGACTGAATCTGTCCCTGTGTCTGAGTAACGTCCACATCTCCTGGGTTCACGGGCTTTGTTCCTTTGTTTGCTTGTCAGGCTTGGTGTAGCCAGGATAACTCTCAGCTGCGAACTTTCTTCACCAATCTCATGTATGAGGACCCACTGCCACACACATCCCTTAATTGTTTGGGTTTACTAGGCTCACATCATGCCCTTTCCTACAGAAAGATGAAAGCAAAGCATCCCCAACCTCAGTGAATCTATGAGCTGCAGGAGAAGACAGTCGCACGCAAGACTAACTGTTCTACAGACTGGAACGCATTTACTCATCCGTTCATCCAGTCCTTACTGATTCCTTCAGCAGTGTTTTTTTAACACATTTTGTGGGACAGCTTCTGGGGAAGATATTGCAGGAACAACGACTAATAAAATATCGTATCCACCATCTTGCTTCTCACTAGCCTTCCATCAGCCCTGACCCTGCCCTAGTCCACGCTCTATTGCCCCTCAACAACCAGAAAAGACTATTCTAGTTTTCCCAGTATCTGCAGCCTATAGACACTTGTTCAGTCTTCCTAATGCAGAAATGTAAGTAACCTCCCTCTCCAAAAAAATCTAGTTGCACCCCATAACCTATAAATTCCTTAACTGGTAATAATTTAAGGAACTTATCATCTTGGCCCCAATCTGTCTTTAAAAACTGACACATCAACACATAACAGTCTTAAAAAACTAACACATTAAGGAGTGACTTACAAGACACCAGTCCTTTCACATATATTATTTCATATACATTACCCTGGCCTTGTCATGGACCTTATCTTCATAACAACACTGGAGATTCACAGAGCATTGCTGTATGTTCCCCTAAAACATCTCGTTTACCCTCAGGCACCAAAAACTTGATTTTTAAACTCCAGGAATCTAGGTGGGGCCATGTGACTAGTTCTAGTCAATGGAATGTGAACAGATTTGGTGGTTTTATGCCTGGTCCCTAAAAGGTCTCCCCCATTCTCTTCAACTCTCTTCCCGTCCATGGTGATTTGAAGATCATATGTTAAGGATGATGGCAGCCCAAAAACAGGTGCCTGTAAGGCGCCCCCGACCCCACACTGCCCCACCACCCCCTCCCAACACCAAACTGGACTGCGATATTAGGAGACACTTGATTTTTACAGTTTAAGGCACTGAGATTCCCCAGCTTATTTGGAGTTGGGGTGTAAACTACTTCAGTCTGACAGGGCAGACAGAAACTAATTTGATAGCCTTTTAGAAATGAGGAAACTAGGATTCTGAATCGTAAATGGCATCCAAATGCACGTGGTTAATAAGCAGGACTGCCAACTAACTCGGGCCTCTACTTTCTGTGACGGTTCCTTTCATATGCAACTTGGCTGTGCTGAGGGAAACGCAGATAGCTGCTGAACATTGTGTCTGGGTGTGTCTGCGAGGGTGTCTATGTAAGAGATGAACATTTGTATTGAAGTCTCATCAGTTTACAATGTTGTGTCAGTTTCTGGTGCACACCGTCATGTTTCAGTCACACGTGTGCCTATGTACATTCCTTTTCATGTTCTTTTTCATTATAAGTTACTACAAGGTATTGAATACAGTTCCCTGTGCTGTACAGTAGGACCTTGATGTTCATCTATTTTATATATAGCAATTAGTATCTGCAAATCTCAAGATCCCAATTTATCCCTTCCCACTCCCTTTCCCCACTGGTAACCATAATGAACACTTGAATCAACAGACTGAGTAAAGATTAACTGCACCAGTGCAGGTGTGCCTCATCCAATTTTTTGAGAACCTGAACAGAACAAAAAGGTGGAGGAAGAGTGAGTTTGCTCTGTTGGAGCCAAGACATCTATCCTCTTCTGCTCTTGGATGTCAGTGCTCCTGGCTCTCAGGCCTTCCAGACTGACTAGGACTGGGACTCACCCCACCAGCTTGCCTTCTTCTCCGATCAGCAGATGGCACATCATGGGATATCTCAGCCTCCTTAGCCGTGTGAGCCAATTCCTATGATAACACACTTTCACATCATGTAAACATCCCATCTCATCATCCAGCTTTCCTCCACTGATGCAATGATGCCCCTCGGGCCTCACCAAACACCAGCCGAACTGAAATGCTTTCTGCTCCCCAAACACACAGCCCACATCCCCACCCCCAGCCTTTGTCCATAGTGCTGCCCGTGTGGAATGCTCTTCCCTCATCTACGTGCTTCACAAAACTATCCATCAAAGCCTGACTCAAACTGCCTCTGTAGGAAGCTGTCCCTGATGCCCCTGAACAGAGAAATCCTCACCTCTGTGTTCGTATAGCATCGTGGCTCTCTCCTATTCTCTTATGCTGTCACTCATCTGCACATGTTCTCTCTCCCATTAGACCAAAAGCTTTTCAAGGACAGAGACCATGTCTTACTCTTCGTGGTAGAACCCATTTAATGAATGTTTGAATTTAGTTAAATTCACATTTTAAAACCTTTATAAATTTTAGTATATTTTCTACTTCTATGAATTATTTTAAGCAATCCCATCCCCAAGACATAACATACAAGATATCATGACTTTTTTTAAAAGGTTACCTTAGTAGTTACATTTTAAAGGCAAAAGAATCAAAAAAGACCCCATAGGCAGCATTGGATTTGTGTTGCCTTGCTCATAAGTCACTCACTAATCATGATGAAGGAATAAATGTAGTGGTTTAACTGTTTAATCTACCATCAGTTTGCACAGGGACCTTGCAGTGAGTGTCAACAAGTCACTTCTGATAGTCACTTCTGATAATATGTGCAAAGAATCTTCTGGACATGGTGTCCCCTTTGATCTCCTCTTTAAATACAAGACGTTAGTTCTGGTTTTTAAATTGTACTTTGACATCCTCTGATCTCCTCTAGTGAGCCACCTGGTTCTATAAGGCTTCACCTCATGTTTCAGAAATGAACCCGCAGTGTCTGTGCTAACCAGAGGCGGACTTAGGAAGTCCAAACAGTGGAGCAGACTATTAACAAGCAGTTGCTCTTGCTTCACTTTTGTTCCCACAACCCAATTTACTTCAGCAGCTTTTGCCTACTTAAAAAAAAATTACGTGAATGAGAATACGTCTTTAAAAATGAATCGCTTCTAAATAAACCTTAGATGCAGTTAGAATGAGGCTACTTATCATGGAGAGCTGCGTCTCCTTCCATTTGGCGCTAGTGACAAAGGTTAAAGATGCCCTCCTATAAAATACCACGTAATTAAACAAAGCAGTTTTGTAATTAGCCACTACACAACTGGATAAACTCCAAGTTTCATAACTCAACTTACAGATGATCCACTTGTACAAAAAAAGTCCAAAGGGTAAAAGACTAGAATTTCTCTTTGTTCAGCTGCTCTTCTAAAACAAAATTTAAAGTAACAAAGAGCAAACAGTTTTCTGCCCCTTGTAGTTCCCTCCTCAAGTAACATAGACGCATAGATACGCGTATAGAACGGCAGGCTTCCTGCTTGAGACTTGCTAAAACCCAGTACCAGAAACGAGAAATAGAAGTGGTACCCAGCCTACTGAAAACTCAACCCCCATTGCCAACCGGTGCAAGAATAATGCCTAAGGAGAAGCTGAGGGAACTCATTATAATAATCTGATAGAGACAAAACTCTGTCAAAGGCAAACCTCTGTTTCCCAACAGAATCAAATTACATGCTATCCAGGCCAGTCTCCACTGCACCAGCTTCTCTGTGTTGAGCTTCTAGAAGTTTCGATCCAAACTGCACATTCTCCCCTCAATTCCTCAGCGTACCAAGGGGACGGGCTCTCTCACCAAGCTCCAGATAAATGTCCCGTTACCTCAGGGTCGAGCTTCACTTCCCTGTCACACCAAGATGGAGGGCACTGCCTGTGGGTAATTCTATAGAAGGAATCCATTATGCACAATTCAGTACACTCTGACTTTACCAAAAATAAAATCTTTTTTAAAAACCACCCCTCAGAATTTCCAGGTCACTGGATGAATTTCAAAATCACAGTGATGACCAAGTACTTTCATCAAATATCCATGATACACCTTAGGCATTTTGCTGAGTGCCAACCCTAATACCTTGGCCAAATTTCACCTTTGAGAAGGTACCTTGGTTAATTATTTAGTTGTTTTACTTTGAAAGTAGTATTCTTGCTTTAGGCTCAGATCATTTCCTCACAGCACTGTGAATAAATGTCCCCAGATTCCAGAAGATTTGGGTAGAGTTTCTATAAACAAAAAAATCTAAAAAATGATGACATCGGTTGAAGTTGCATTCAGATTTCACTATGAAAGCATGATAACAAGTTTTCCAGAAGGACACGGTTACCTTCTGGAACACTGCAAAACAGAACACGTTAACTAATGATTCAGAGTCCAAGTTCAATGCCCTCTGGGGACTCAACCCCTGGTCTGAGCATTCAGACAAAGGAAGAACAAGGGTTATTATATGAATACAGTGGTCCAGGCAACGTGGCCTGGGTTTGTCTTTCAGCCTCCTCTCTGAGTTTTGGTATAAAAATATAGGACTAAATAATCTGATCTCTCCACAAATTGAACACCCAGTATAAATTTCAACTGGAAAACCACTTGGAGCAATAAGCAGAGAGCATAGATTTTATATATCACTTATTATGCTAGATACTTTTCTAGATGTTTTATAAAAATTATCATTTTTAATCCCCATAGCAAGCCTTTTTTATCTTTGCATGAGAAAGTTGAGTTTCTGAGAATTTAAGTGACTTTGTCAAGGTCACCCAGAGAGGAAGTAATATAACTGAACATCTGTCTCCAGAGCCCATGGTCTTTCTACCAAGGCATTGCTACCTTCATGAATTTTAAGTTCAAAATGCTGATTTTATGTTTCTTAACCTCTAAACCTTACTCTCCTTTGTCTGTAAAATTGTAACATTCCCAAGGTCACACATGGCTGATGACTGGCCACGGCGGGATTTGAACACTGGGTTTATATCTCTTTCCAATGTACCACCTTCAAAAGAAACCAAACAATTGGTCTTCCTCTGCCAATTCTTTTCCTCCTTCAGTGTCCTCCTTCTCAAAACTTGGGGACCATGTTGAAGACACATGTCTTCTCAGTGGTACACCTCCTGCACATCAAAAAGACCTGGCAATTCTACCCTGGAAATAAAACCCATCACTCCTCTCCACCTCCATCCCCAACCCTAGGACTAGTTGCTGTCATCTCCAGCTGAGACTAGGTGACTTCCCTCATCCACCCGATCCCTCCAGTAGAGTCAGAAGGACCTTCTGGAAATAGAAATCAGGCCGTTTTACCACAGTACGTAAAGCCCTTGGGCTACTTCCGATTTCAAGATGACCCCATCACTTCTCACATACTCTCCTCCACATGCTTCACTCACTCATTCTGTTCTTCAAGGGTGTGGAGTCCTTTTACACTCTGGAACTTCATACCTGCTACTCCTTCTGCCTGGAGCGCTCTCACTCTTCCATCATTCCACCTGTAGACTTGCCTCGCTGGAGATGGTTGCCTTGCTCGTCCACTCCCAGTTAAACTGGGTTCCCCCTCTCAGCTCCCTGTGTTAGTTAGGGCTGGGCAAAGCTGCAATAACAAAGAGATCCAAAGAAATGATGGCTAAAACAAGGTAGAAGTTCGCTTTCTCTGTCACTTAGCCCAACTCCATAAGGGAGATTCTGTCCTCCTCAAAGTGTGCTTCCCTCTTGGGCTCCGAGGCCACCATTTCCGGTCTCATCATCTTCCAGCAGGAAGGGGGAAAAGGGCCAAGGGAGTGGTTCCTTTTCAGGGCACTCCCCAGAAGAGGTAAAATTCAGTTCTGTTCAGATACTGTTGAGCAGAACTTAGGAATTTGGACAAGCTATAAGAGATAATAAATCTTTGGTTGTGTTCCCCTGAAGACTCAGGCATTCTATTATGAAAGGCAGGCAGAATGGACATTGGTGGGGGAAAAAAAGCAGCTTCTATACTTCCTTTTCACAAGACTTATTTCAATTAAGAATTACATATTTATTCGATTCATGATTTGTTCAATGTCTGTCTTCTCTTGGACCATAAGCTTGATAAGAGAGAAACATTCTAGCTGTTGGGAAATAACACAGTTCCTAGAATATATAAGATAAACCATAAATATTTCATAATTGACTGAGTAGACAAGAGTTCTTTAAGAATTGTGTCAACTATATGTCTATCTCCCTCTAAATATATATTTCTCTAAGTATATATTCCTAAATATATACTCTAAATATATATAGTTAGCATTCTGTAACCACAGGTCCAACCAACCACAGATTGAAAATATTCAAAAAGAAAAATAGTTCCAGAAAGTTCCAAAAAAGCAAAACTTGCTCTCCCAGCAATTATTAAGGTATTATTTACACTGTATATACAACTATTTGCATATCGTTTACATTGTATTAGGTATTATAAGTAATCTAGAAATGATTTAAAGGACACAAGAGGTTATATGCAAATACTATGCCACTTTATGTAAGGGACTTGAGCATCCGTGGATTTTGATATCCATAGGGGTCCTGGAACCAGTCTCCAGATTGGTCCCCAGTTATCAAGGGATGACTGTACCCTAAATATATATATACTCTCAATATGTATTCCCTGTAAGATAAAATACATACTCTGCATGTATGGATATGTGTGTGTCC